GCCAGCATCCACCTTCTCGCCGCCGGGGCTGGCGGCTCCAGACTCTTCCGGAGGGCCGTGCTGATGGTGAGTGGGCGCTCGGTGTCCACCTGGCTGCAGGTGCGGTCAGGTGAGGGTCCTCTCTGGCTCTGAGGTCCGCTGCTTCCATTGCTTGGTCCCTGTATCCGTGTTCTGGGTGTGTGTCCTGCTCAGGGCCGTCTCTCATGCACACAGGAGCCGGTGCTGAGGGCTCCCCGATGGCTGGCACTCACATCTCAGGTGCTCATAGTTCCGACGGGCGTGTTCTACTTCTTGCGAATGCCTCGCTAGGGTTTACTGGTCTGAGCTCTGCATTCCCTCCCTTGTCCACAGACACCACAGGGCTGGGCTGAGGGATGAGAAGGCCTCTGGTGGAGGCACGTGATGATGAGGGTACAGTTTAGCCAACTCTATGCCAACGACACCTGGCAGCCCCCCCAAACAGGAGAGAAATCAAACCAAGAGAACTCTAGTCTGCTTCCCAATGCGGCTTCCCTGATCCTGTCTGGGTTTGAATTTTGAATATCCCCAGAAGCTGTCTGGTTTCTTCCGCAGCCCTCGTCCCGTCCCTCCTCCACCCAGAGATTCCATTCTGGTGGCATTTCACTGTGGGACAGTGTTGGGTGATGCGTGACGCTAAGCCCTTCCACCTCAGTGATGCTCACTTACCTGGGGGTGAGGACAGTAGGGGACCCGGGGGCTTGTCCACATGGCTATTCAAGGAGTGGCAGGAGCTGGGCCAGCAGCCACAGGCGGGCACGGGGCTCCAAAGGGCTGACCAACTGAGCTGTTGGTTGTGGAATGAAGGCAAAGAATAGAACTCAGAGCTCATGATTCTGCTAGGCGGTCTGAGCACCTGCTAGGGGATGATGATGATGGTGATGATGATAGTGATGGTGATGATGGTGGTGATGATGGTGATGATGGTGATGATGGTGGTGATGGTGAAAGTGATGGTGATGATGGTGGTGATTATGATGATGATGATGATGATAGTAATGATGGTGATAATGTGATGCTACAATTATGATTATGATATATTGATGATGATGGTGATGATGATGATGGTGGTGGTGATGGTAGTGATGATGGTGAGGACAATGATGATGGGGGTGATAGTAATGATGATGATAATAGTAATGATGATGATAATGTGATGCTACAATGATGATTATGATATATTGATGATGATGACAGTAATCATGATGGAAGTAATAACCTGGTTGACCATGAGACCCGAAAACTATTCTGTCATTGATTAGCTTCTAATTGTACTGGGTGTCCAGCCGTTGGCAGGTGGGGTGCCAGGTGCTGGAGACTCCGTGCTGAATAATTCATTCCCTGGTCGTCAGGAAGCTTGGAGGTTGCTGTGGGGCGAGAGCAGATAGTTAAAGCAGATATTTAAGAGGGGGTCTTCAGGCGGCTCAGAGAGAAGCCCCAGCCAAGAGCAGGAGAAGGAGGGGGTGGTGGAGAATGCTTCTCAGGAGAGAGGAAGTCTGGGGACTGCGTGGGACTGCGAGGGACTCTGAGGGACTGTGAGGGACTTTGAGGGGTTCTGAGGGATTGTGTGGGATTGTGTGGGACTGCGTGGGATTGCAAGAAACTGAGGGGGACTGTGTGGGGCTGTGCCGGCAGAGTCCAGGCACCAAGGGGATGCTGGACTCTTCCTCAATCTGTAGGTTGGCTGTGCCTCAGGGGGATGGGGCCCTCCTGGGCAGTGGGATAGGGGTTGGGCGTGCCCGGAGCACGTGGCAGCCATCGCCATGGAATGGTGTTGTGTGTTTGCGTCTTTGATTGGGTCTGGTTGACCTCTTTAACCACTTTTAAGTGTGCAATTCAGTGGCACTAAGCACATGTACAAGGTTATGCAATCAGCACCGTGGATCATTTCCAGAGCTCTCATCCCAAGCAGAAACTCTGTACCTAATAGAAACTGGCTCCCCTCCACCTTCTTCTCTGTGATGTTGCCTGGCTAGCTACTGGTGGGACCGCACAAGATGTGCCCTCTGGCGTCTGGCTCTCTCACTTAGCATGTCTGCAGGGTTCCTCCATGGTCCATGCTGTAGCCTCTAGCAGGATTTCATCCCTTTCCAAGGCTGAGTCCTATTCCACTGCGCGCACCACGTTTTGTTCGTCGTCCATCGATGGACATCAGGGCGCACCTTTGGCTGTTGTGCACAGTGCTGCTGTGAGCACGCTGCGCCTTCAAAGACCTTTGAGCCCGGCCGGCCTGGCTCCATTCTCAGTCAGGACATATGCCCGGGTTTTGAGATGGATCCCCAGTGTGGGGCATGCACGAGGTAGTCGATCAATGATTTTTTCCCATCATTGATGTTTGTATCTCTCATTCTCCCCCTCCTTCTTTGAAATCAATAAATATATATATTTTTAAAAAGCACTTCGAGCAGGTGGGAAATTGCTTCCTTTTAGGAGACTTCACTTAGAGGCGGGGGAGGGTGAGCCAGAGAGACAACCCCGGGGCAGAGAAGCAATGAGGAGACGATGAAGTAACGCAGTTAAGGAAAGCGGGAGACCACTGAGGCCAGGGCCACGGACCTGCTAGCCATGCTGAGGCCGGGGGCCACTCCCGCTCTGCCTCGCCTTCCTGGGACCAGGGCCTTGATCATGAGGAGGGCAGGGGTGGCGTGGTTTGGGCCTCACTGAGGCTGGGGCAGCATCGTCACCATCCCTCACAGGAAGCTGTGCCACCGCCAATTCATCCCTCACCTGCATGTTCAGGACAGACTCCATGGCCCATCCTGCCCCTGCAGGCCCTGTCCTGTGTGAGACTTGGTCCTGCCCTCCTGCTCCCGGCTGCCCTGTTCATCCTCAGGGACCCTCCCGGACTCGGCAGCTCCGGGTCAGACCCCTTCCCATGGCTGTGCTGCCTGCACTTCCCCACAGCATTTATCAGGATTCCCACCAGCTGCTCCTGCTGCCCGTCTGTCTCCCTCCCCAGACTGTAGGCCCCGGGGGGACAGGGGCCCGGTGTGCCTGGCTCTCCACAGGGAGCACCCAGCACCGCTGGTCTTACAGTACCTGCTGCATAGTCAGCATCTGGGCAGGGATGAGTGGGTGAAGGGGACCCACAGGATGGCCCGTTTTCCTCCTCCCCTCCCCCTTGTGTTTCTTCCCCTTTGGTGCGGGTTTTCTTCAGTCTGTCCCTCCTAGGGGTTGTGTCCCCGCTGAGGGAGGTCTGAGCCCAAACGTCTCTCGATCCCTGGGGCTGAAAACAGACCCCCTGACTCTGAGTTGATCCTGAAGGTATTTCCCCAAGGCCCCCTCGGAAACCAGACACCCAGTGGGACCCAGAAGACACCGTAACACCTTCTCATAGGCGCAGAAGGCAGACTTCTTGAAAATTCTGGAGAGTTTGGGTGTTTGGGGAATTTCTGAAGCGAATCTGTTCTCACAAATGGGAGCGCGTGTAAAAATAAACCCGCCATCTGTTTCCGTCGTTTGGGAGCGGCTTTTACAGCTCCTCCCAGCAGCCTTTGGGTGTGAGGCTGTGCGGGATCCAGGGGACCGAAATACTTCTCTCTGTTAGCAGTTCTTCAACACGTTCCTTACTGGCAGATGCTTGGGGAACAAAGGCAAGCTGGCGACACGTTCCTGATTAAAATCTTGTCTTTCTGCAAATCTCGGGGCCATAACTGTTGCCCCAGCAGGCGAGACAGACTCCCGTGAGAACTACCAGCAGGGTCATTCGTTTGGTGTCTTTGGGGCCATCGAGAACTCTCAGTATTATCTCAGAGACTCCTCACATGCATTCACAAGGGGTGTCTTTTTTCAATAGCCATTTAGAGATCAGACATCCACGGCTCAGAGATGTTTAGTGACCTGCTAAAGAACACGCAGCAAAGAAGGAGCTGGGTAGGGATTCGAACCGACAGCCCAAGCCTGTGTTTCCCATTGATGAGGCTGCTTCTGCAGGGACTTGGGACTCCTGGGATGTCAATGTGTAAGACAAAGAGGCCAGGTTTAGGGTGGGACGAGCGCAGTAGCTCCTGGCCTTGGGTGAGCCCTGTACCCCGTATTCCTCAGAGATAGACAGGGCATGGCTAATCCTGCCTCCCAGGGCTCACGACGTTGTCATCAGTAGGTTTGCAGATGCCCTGCACACCGTAGCACTCGGGAAACCTCAGTTTCCCCCATTCGATGCCCAGCGGAGGCACCTGCAGATGGAAGCAGGCCTGGGGTATTTCCTCAGCTGGGACCGGGTCGGAGGAAGAGGGGTGACATGTTGCCTACCTGCATTTGGTGACTGACACCCTGGCCGGCTCTCAGGGAAGACCGAGGAGGACCTGCCCTCTGGGCTGTGATGCTTGGGACCCAGACGATGTTTCCATCGCCCCGATTCCACACTCCTCGGCGTGAATGCCAGGCCTCATGACTTGGCCTCGAGCAAAAGTTTCCTGTCTCGTTGCCTCTCCATTCCCACCTGAGCCCCTGCTCTGGGCTCCCTGGTTTCCCTGTTCCTAGAAAATGCCAGGCTTGCCCGGCCAGCCTGGCTCGGTGGTTGAGCATCGACCTATGAACCAGGAGGTCACGGTTCGATTCCTGGTCAGGGCACAGGCCCGGGTTGTGGGCTCGATCCTCAGTGTGGGGCGTGCAGGAGGCCACGGATCCATGATTCGCGCTCATCATTGGTGTTTCTCCCTCTCTCTCTCCTTCTCCCTTCCTCTCTGAAGTCAATAAAAATATATATTTTTTTAAATGCCAGGCTCCCCCCAGGTCTTCGCATCACTGCTTGTGATCAGCAGGCCTGCTTCTCCATCTGGAGGGTCACCCCCAATCCAGGGCTCGGCCGCAACAGGGCTCACAGCTCTCCCCCCTCCTCAGACAGGAAGACCGCGTGGTGGGAACTCTCCCCTGTAGCAGTGCGGAGGCCTCTGTCCTGCCTCAGATGCTTGCTGCCTTCCTCCTGTGTCTTCCCCTGACCCTCCCAGGCTGGTGCTTTCTGCAGGGGGAGGTCTGTGTGTGTGACACCAGGCTCCGTGACAGCAGGGCCTCGGCTTTTCCTGCCACGGCCCCAGCCCCGAGCAGTGCCTGGAATTTGGTAGGTGCCCAGAGATATCTGTAGAAGGAAATTCGTGGGAGAACAAACGGCCGAGGTACCACAAGTAATATGGGGGGGAGGGGGGGCGGGTGCGGGGGGTTGTCCAGGTGAGACAGGGTTTTCGTAACAATGGCCAGGACGTTTTTCTGTCCTCACCCTCACGTGTGAGGGGACACCATCAAAGTCACACAATCGTGTGTGCTGGAGGCCGCCCTCCGGACGCTGAGCGGCCGGCCAGCGCGGCCTCTGTTTCTTGTCTCCGTCTCTGTCCAGTTGCACGTTGAGTTGAGAATTTGGGACACAGGGAAGCTTCTGAACGAACCGCCCTCCCACCCCCACCCCCCCGCAGCTCACCCAGGAAACTCTCCCTCCATCCAGGGGGTTAAATACGCATTAGGTTTATTTTAATCAGGAATAAATACATGATTTAGCAAAATGTAATGCTTCCCACTTAGAAATCCCTCGCATCCTCCCCACACGGTCCAACCATGTGAGTCACAACGGAAAAGAACACATGAGACCCCGTGCAGACATCTGGCGGGCGGCAGCCCTGCCTTATGTCGGCGGCAGCGTGCACCGGCTGCAGTCACTTCCCAGGCTCGGCCGGCCCCTTTGAAGCCTTTTGGGGGCAGGGGAAACCCCAGATGTCTTTGGGTATAAACAGCCTGGGCTCTGCTGATACAGAAAAACTTGTAAACGCGTCGACACGTGCGGCGAGCACAGTGACCTCAGACGTGTGGAATGCGCATGGCGGACAGACAGATGCTCATATCGGGCAGCGAGAGATACCCTGACACAGGCACCGCCCCTCCCCTGACCCCTGCCCAGCAGGGAAAGGAGGCCTGGCTCCCGGCAGCCCCTCCTGGCAGGGGCAGGGGCAGGGGCAGGGGCCGTGGGCGGCTGGGGCCCAGGCTTCTCCTCGCGAGGCCTTGGCTGTGGCCCTCTAATCTCTTTCAATGATGGAGACAGAACTGAGCCCCTCTCACCCCCTCATTCCTGGAGCCCAGCACTTTTATTCGTATGTGTGCCAGACCCTTCGTAGAATAAAATACCGAGAAATGAATGCTCTAGAACTTATCCAGGTCCGGCCATTCTGACCTCCTCCGTCCAGCCACGCCCTCTCCCTGAAGGTCCAGCTGAAACCTGGGCTCCAGGTCACCCCACCTGACCCCTGTCCCACGCAGAGCCAGGCGCCGATGTCTGCCCTTACACCCACCGTCACGATCTTCGTTTACACACTTCCCCTCTGTCCACACCATGGACCCCTGCTGGGGCCTGGGGCTCAGCTGTCCCTTTTGTTTTTTCTGGATGCCTTTCATAGGGGAGGACACGGAGCCTCTTCGCAGTCAGGAGGGAGTCTGGGTGCGTTACTGTGGGGACTCTGGCTGCGAAGCTGCAGAGGGGATGTGGTGGAAGCTCGCGCAGTCCGTCCCGCACCACACCCCCCTCCCCGCAGCCCCCCTCTCCCCTGGGCCTCGCCCCTGCAGAGGCGGGGAGGCCGTGTGACCGCTGCACATGCGGCGTTGGGACCCGAGGGGCAGAGAGAGCTTCCGGGCTACTTAGGACGGTGAGCGATCAGGGTCCCTGAGCTGCTCAGCGAGAAGAGGTGCGTGTGTGCCGAGGCCTCTGTCCGAGGCTGAGAAGGTGCCGAGCAGGGACCAGTGTGCAAACCCGGACCTGTGCCCAGGACACGGCTGTTGGCTGGTCTCCTTCCCGGGCGTTTCTCCTTAGACGTTCTCTCTGTGAGCTCAGAGGGCAGGCTGTTGGGGGTGGGCCCTGCGCCCTTTCCGGGGAGAGAGTGGCTGTCTTTCCCGCCATCATGTCGCGAGTCGACATCCGGTGACGTCCAGGACTGGCCCGACGCCAGGGAGGGGCCCTGCGTCACGATGTGGACAGAGGAGGTGGGTGCGTGAGCTCAGGCAGCTTCTCGTGGCATCTGGAAGACGTGAGGTTCCCGGGGACCAGGCGACCGAGCCTCTCGGCTGGACCCCAGGTGACGGTCCAGAGCCTGTTCCCGCTGGGCACCCCGTGCGGCTGCCCGTCCGCCCTGGGCTAGTCCTCGAAGTAGGGCGGCGAGGACGAGAAGAAGGCGCTCTTCCTCTTGCTCCCGCTGTACAGCAGGGAGATGCTCTTCTTCTTGCGGTCCAGGGGCGCGCCGCTGTCGCCCGCCAGGGACAGGTAGGAGGCGATGCTCTCCCGCAGGCCGTAGCTGAAGAGGGACTCGTCCACGCCCAGTGGGTTCCCCGCGCCCTCGGGGTCCTCCTGCAGCCTGTGCGTGGGAACAAAGGGGACAGAGGGAGGGGAAAAGAGAGGGATGAGGACGAGAGAATAAGAGGAAGGAAAAAGGCCCTGTTAGCATTTCTCTAGCTTATCATTCTAATTCTGCTTCCTATATTTGCGGCTGTGTGGCCTTAGATTAGTCACTGAACCTCTCTGACCCACCATTTCCTTCAATGGCTAAAATGTCTCTGTAAACTGTAATTTTTAATGAGTATTTTTATGATATTTACAAGAAAGAGCAGTTTTATTTATCTCCCAGTCAACTCTGACTTCTGATTCTTTTTTTTCTTCTTTTGTCCCAATGGGATGTCTGGATCAGTATTTAGTTAATAAGGCAACCCACCAATCAATCTCTAACTACACATACCCCTAAAATGCAATAGCAGACACTCAAAGCAGATCAGTAGGAAATGCTTTTCCCTTAAAAAAACAAACTATGACACTTTAGGATTTGCTGGTGTATTTAAACTTCCTGAGAGAATTTAAAAGAATATAAAATGATACAAGAGTTCTTTGTGTGATCCTCTCTGGGATCCTGACAATTAGGAAAAGGAAGGTGGTATCTTTCTGCTAGAAAATGTTCTGCTCACACTGAATGGGGCTCAGGAAATGTTTGCAGATCTGGGGGGCCGGGGCCCTGCCAGGGAGTCGCTAGGGTCGTGGCCCCCACTGTGTGAAGCCTGAGGCTGGATCTGCCTCCCGGGGGGCAGTGGGGTTCCATGGAGTGTGCCCTCTCAGTGTGCCCACCATCAGGTTCCCGCAGGGCCGGCTGTAGCTGGCCACAGTGTTCATGTGCCAGGCTCACACGCAGGACTGGGGCTCTCTCACACAGACAGACACCCTGACCCTCACCTGGACATCTTCCTCCAGTCCAGGGTCTTCTGGCGCAGGGTGACGGGCGAGTCGGAGGCCCTCACGGCCGGGGCAGCGGTGCTCTGGGTGAGGCAGGGTGTGGTCAGCACGCAGCACAGGCCGTCGGCCACCTCTGAGGATGGAGCAGACAGGGGGTCAGTGACGGAGACACTGTAGCCAGCGCAGGCGTGGGGCTGAGCGACCATCAGCACAGCCCCCTCACCCTCAGGAGGGCCCATGTGCAGGAGGCTGTGGGCAGCCCTGACTCCCCCAGAGCTCACAGAGCAGCATTCAAGGCAGCATGGTGGCGGGATACACAGGTAGGGAGAAAGGAAGACAAAAGAAACAATGAAAGAAGACAGGGAGGGAAGGGAGGGAGGGAGATAGCGAGAGGGAGGGAAGTAAAGATAGATCTCAAAAAAGATAAAAGGCACAGAAAAGGAAGACGGAGAAAAACAAAAATTCAAAGCAAAAGAGAGAAAGTGGACAAAGGAAAGGGGGGGACCCCTCTCCCCCTCACCCTGGACACTCATGCACAAGGAGAATGAAAGCGGAGTAAACCCGTCCGTCCCCTCGGCTGGTGTAAGCTGTCTGAGCTCCCAGCCTTCCTCCTCCCGGACCTTCAGACGCAGCGCCTCCTCAGAGGCCTCCTCCCAGCCCCTGTCCTGGCGAGAGAGGGGGGGCCTGGCTGCGCTCAGGCCCACTGAGAGATGGAGGAAAGCGGGGCGCCTTCAGGTTGAGGACCCGGCCGGTCATGTCGCAGGGGCGATGGCGGGGCCGAGGTGCCAGGTGCTGCTGGCCCCTGGCAGGGCCGGGCGGAGCCAAGTCACCCATGGATGTGTCCTCCTCCTGTCTTGTCTGTGGAGCCCTGGGGGGTCCTTGCCCAAGAACAAAAGGAAACTGTACTGAGGAGCAAACCCAGGCTCTCAGAGGGTGGCGGCCAAGGATGCCCATCCCACCGTTCAGTCTGCCTTTCACCTTGAACTTGAATGCCCACCCACGCTGTCCCACGCCGAGAAACGCGAGATGGGGCCCTGAGTTCAGAGGGAGCTTAACTGCATGTGGATCTGAAATGATGACCTGTCACGGGCTGGAGGGGGTGCCTAGGGGTGAGGGACCAAATCGGACATGAAGAAATCGGCAGCGGTACCCAGCCCAGGCGGGGACTTGGCCACAGTTTGTCTTTCCTTTGAGAGCTTAACAGGCAGGGTGAGGAGGCAAGTTTGGCAATGAGAAAAGCAGGTCCGTGAGCCCAGTGCTGAGCGAGGCCACGTTCTTGAGCCGCCAGCACTGTTGGGCCCATTTTCGGAACACGGAGACTGAGGGTCCTGGGCCAAGTCACTTGCTCAAGGTCACAGAGATGTGACCCAGCCGGTGGCATGGGCTCTGAGCCAGGTGCTTGTTCTAAGAGCAGCTTCTTGCCCCTGACATGGAGGAGAGGGAAGTCCTTCCTGCCTCTGGGGTCTGGACACACTCCTCTCCTCCTCCCGTCTGTGGAAATCTCTAGAACGCTCCCTCAGGCTCCAGACCTCTCAGCTCCACCTTGACACTCAAGGGCCCCTGTCCCCACCGCCTGTCTCTCTGGCCCTAATTTAGACCTCGTTTGTGTCCTACGCTCTCTGCTCTCTCAGTCACCACTGGGCATGGAATATTTCAGATGCCAGACTTTTCACTGGTGATTTCCGGGTCCTCGCAACAATCCTATAAGAGGCACTAACTCCCCATTTTATAGATGAAGAAACTGAGGCTTTGAGATGGTAGGGAATTGCCCGAGGGCCCCAGGGAAATAAGTACAAGCAACCTGTGCAACAGAGACATCTGTGTAGACCCCTCGGCACAGCCACGCTAACGCTGTCCCGAGGAGAAGCGGGCGGGTGGGCGGAGAAACTGGCCACGTTGCTTCAACCTTGGGGTCCCTAGGAGCCGGAGCATTTCAGAGTTTCAGTCTCATTTCAGTGACTACAGGGGTGAAGCAGACTGCAGTCCGCCTCCTGGTGCAGGCCCAGGAGGTGGTGGGGAAGGCCCTGCTCTGTGCCGGTGCGCGGTCCTGGGTGAGCCTGGAGGTGCACGGTCCTGGGTACTTTTGCCTGGTGCATGGTCCCGGGTGAGCCTGGCAGTGCAGGGTCCTGGGTGTGCCTGGCGGTACACGGTCCTGGGTACTTTTGCCTGGTGCACGGTCCCGGGTGAGCCTGACGGTGCACGGTCCCGGGTGAGCCTGGCCGGAAGCCTGTGGAGCGCCCTGTCTGTGGCATCCTGCTGGGGCGGCATCCCCTCCTGTTTGCCTTTGTCTATGCAAATCTTCTGGTCTGTGCACCTCTGGTATGATTGTTATTAAGAGCCAATACCACAACCGATGTTTACTCATAATCGGTAGAAGTGCACCATTTCCAGGACTCCCTTCCTCTTTCATTTTTAGCCGAGCTGCTAGGTTCTCGGGTGTCACAGAAATAATTGTGTTATCTTTTATTTTGCACCCGCCGCATGGCAGGCTGGGACGCCGCGTCGCCTCAGGGTTCGATGGTGTTGAGTGATCAATACCCCCGCGGGCGGGTCCCATCCGCCTTCTGTGCACCGGGACCCGAGTCCCGCGGAGGCCGAGGGTTTTGTCCTCACAGAGCCCTCGCGCACCCGAGCTTGGGCCTGTGTCTCCGTGTGGCCATACCTCCTTCAGGACTACACATCTCATGGGCCAGGTGCGAGGACCCAGGCCCCGTGGTCGCTTTCTCCTTGAAATGCCCTTCAAGACCCCACACTACAGGTCCTTCCAGGTCAGGCCTTCTGAACCAGGAAGGGGAGGACACTAGCAAAGTGAAAGGCACCTCTCTTCCTCCCCATGGTGCCCAGGAAGGAGGCAGAAGGGGCCGCTCTGGCCCAGGAGCAGGGAGAGCCGCAGCTATGCGCTAGGAGGCGCTCTCCCAGCACTTTGTGCGCACCAACCCCAGGCATCTCCCAGCGTCCCCCTGGGTGGGAACACTCAGCATCTTCAATACACAGAGAAGAAAGGGAGCCCAGAGTCGCACAACCAGCCCCGTGCCCAGAAGGTCTGGGCTACGAGCATCGGTTCCACACCAACTCTTAGAAACATAGCCACCTCTTCACTCTTTCTGCCTTTTCCGTGAAGTTCCAACTCCTGACCTGCCCTCCAGGCCTGTCAGTCTCACTAGCTTTCCTGTCCCATCGCCCTCAGCAAAACCACACTCTGTTCCCACCACCTCGGCGGATGACCCCTGTCCTGGTCAGTATGGGTCATTCCGACCCCCTCCTGGGTCCAGGAAGGCCATGGGAACGAATGACGCCCGAGCCTTGGTCTCTAAGAGCTCCTGGGGAAGCAGACCAGAACACGGTGAACGCGGCCAACAGGCAGAGCGAGCGGGGTTCTGGGGACACCGGGCGTGTGTCGGAGCAGAGTCTACTGACACTTCGTCGAGGAGGGGGTCCTGACCAGTGTGGCTCAGTGGTTGAGCATCGACCCATGAACTAGGAGGTCACAGTTTGATTCCTGGTCAGGGCACATGCCCAGGTTGTGGGCTCGATCCCCAGTGTGGGGTATGCAGGAGGCAGCCAATGGTGGTTCTCTCATCATTGATGTTTCTGTCTGTCTCTCCCTCTCCCTTCCTCTCTCTGAAATCATTTTTTTAAGCAAAAAAAATAAAAAGAAGGGGTCCCATTGGCTGGAAGCCCAGGAGGGGCCTGCGTGCAGAAAAGGGGAAATGGGTGGCATTGCAGAGCAGAGCCCGAGGCCTGCAGCTGCGCGGTCGGCTGGAGGAAGTGCGAGCCGTCCGTGGCTGTGAACTAGGGGCACCGACGTCTTTCGTTTACAGGCAGGGACGGCGAACTTGAGATTTGCTGCCTTTTACTCTCTCGGCGGCACTGCCGGGCACCCTGTTCCAGTCCCAGCCTTACAGGCCGTGTGAACAGGGAAAGGACACGTAGAGAAGGTGGGATGGAAGAGAGCAAAGCGACCCGTGGGCGCCCTAGACCAGTGGTTCTCAACCTTCTGGCCCTTTAAATGCAGTTCCTCATGTTGTGACCCAACCATAACATTATTTTCTTTTTCTTTTTTTTTTTTTAAATATATTTTATTGATTTTTCACAGAGAGGAAGGGAGAGAGATAGAGAGCCAGAAACATTGATGAGAGAGAAACATCGATCAGCCGCCTCCTGCACATCTCCCACTGGGGATATGCCCGCAACCAAGGTACATGCCCTTGACCGGAATCGAACCTGGGACCCTTCAGTCCGCAGGCCGACGCTCTATCCATCGAGCCAAACCGGCCTCGGCCATAACATTATTTTCATTGCTACTTCATAACTGTATGTTGCTACTGTGATGAATCGTCATGGAAATATCTGATATGCAGGATGGTCTTAGGTGACCCCTGTGAAAGGGTCATTTGACAGCCAAAGGGGTCGCGACCCACAGGTTGAGAACCGCTGCCCTAGACGGGGGGCGCAGGGCAGTTAACAAGGAGGGGGTCAGGAGGGGGTCAGGAGGGGGTCAGGGCCGCGGCCTGCGGGCGGCTCTTACCGGAGTAGTGGTTGACCAGGTCCTCCAGGCACTGGAAGGTGAGCCGCGGCGAGATGTAGTACCAGTTGTTGGGCAGGCGGAAGATGCGGTAGTGCTTGACCTGCCGGTGCCGCACCGAGAGGGAGTAGAAGCCTGCAGGCACGGAGGACAGTCAGTGGCATCCCTAGGCCCCAGCCCAGGGCACCCGGCTCGAGCCCACCCCCGCTGAGGCCGGGGGCTTTCCGCAGCCTGTCCCACCGTGACACCCAGACACACACTTTCGTGTGGGGAGCAGCAGCCACGGGAACCCCATCTGCGTGGACGCGGCTCACTCTTTCTTTAAAAAACGCATTTTTATTGATTTTGGAGAGGCCTGTCTCTGCTTCGTGACGTTCCCACGAGGGGAGCTTCCACATCCCGTTCGGGGTCCTTGGGCTGCATGATGGGTTCGAGTCGGGTTGCAGCTGCAGGCTGGGACCCGGGGCATCCTTGGGTTCGTCCCGCGTACCCTCCAGCGCCTCACCTGAGAGAGGCCTCAGGGTTGTGCCCCTGTGTTCCCGTCCCAGCGCCCTCTGACTTGGGTGTGGTGTTCTCAGAAACTTGGGGAGAGGGGCAGCAAAGACATTTTCCTGGGTCTCCCTAAGAAGCACGGGAACTGTGCCCTTTCCCCTCGAGCAGCCTTAAGGTGACAGCACCGCATGGTTAGGACGAGCAGAGCCTTGGCCTTGCTCCCAGCCTTGATGTGCCCACGTGGGAAGATAGAGAACTAGACGCGGGGCACGTGTCGGAGTCCTGCCTGCGCTGTGTTCTGGGGCCCGGGGTGAAAGTGTCATGGGGCAGAGAGGGGGGGCCACTAGGTTTTTCCGAGTCTTGGCGGCTTGGGCTGGGCTGGGCTCAGCTATCTCCCAACAACATCTCCATCAGTTCTCAGAAAGGCCTGGGGAAACTGAGGCTCAGAGCCCCTGGGTGACACGGCCGGAGGTGCGCAGCTTGGAATGAGACTAGCTTTCGGAGGGGCATCCCTCGCTCAGCCCAGGCCCGCCCTCTGACCCCACCCAGCCTTTCGGTAATGTCAGCGGGGCCTGAGGCAGGGCGAGCCGGTCCAGGGGGCAGGTGTCAGCGTGTGAGAACTTTGCATGCCCGGGGGAGCGGGGCCTGCACCCCACCCGGCCGGCCAGCTGCAGGTCTGCCTGGCAATCGCTTTATTTTTAGAGCAGCGTGGGCACCTCCGGGCTCTCCCGCCCGCCCCCAACAGCTGGAGCTCGGGTCTGGGTCCCCTGCCTCGGGGACACTGGGACACGCATTGCTCTCAAAAAATACTCGCAGAGAGACTGTGTGTTCTCCTCTTAGACAGTAGGCGTGCCAAGAGCAGGCTGGGAGCCCACAAGTATCTTCTGTGTTTAAATGCTTATCATCATCCTTTCTTATCTGGGAAGGCCCAAGGGGTTGGGGTCTGGCCTCTGCTTGCTTCAGTGTGTACATTACATCCCTGACACTGTGAGAAGCACCTTCCTCCGCTGATCCCATGTGATGGGTAAGGGGTCCTGGGCTTCGAGAGGGGGCGTGGCTCCTTCATCACCCATACAGCCGGAACTAGAACGGGGGACCCCTGCTCAGAACCCCGCAGAGCCCTGCTGTGTCGTCCCCCCTGAATTGCTTAGTGCGTGGGATGGAAGGAAATTATACAAATCAGATCAGGGTATGTGCAGTGTGTATCTGTGGGTCCTGCTTCTTGCAGATTTCTGATTGCATCGCTGGGCACAGAGGGAGCTAGTCCGGGGGTCTCCTGTGTAGTGAGACCACCACAAACATTACATTGGAGGCACTCCGCCACCTCACCAGGGAGGGGCTTCTTCCCATTTCACAGCTGAGAAAACTGAGCTCAGAGAAGGAAGTGACCCGCCCCAGCCTCAGAGCTTGAAAGCACAGGCCACGCTCTCTGCCCATGTGCTGCTGACACCAGCGTTGGCCTTTCCTCTCAGTTGATGGGAAATTGTCCCACAGGCGTCACCCTGGCCTGGTGCGGGGCCAGGCCCCCACTGCCTGTGTCTCGGCCCCTGGCTTCGATGCTGGCCTCACTGGGGTGCCTGGGCTGCAGGGAGCTCACCACCTCGGACTGATTGGCGTGTTCAGGGAGGAGGGAAGGTGAGCAGGTCATGAATGAGTCAGCCAGGAGCCAGACCTGCTTGTCTGACCCAAGCGTGGGAAGGTGAGTCGGGGGCTGCTCACCTTTCTTCGTCTCGCTCTCCCGGATCATGAAGGAGCCGATCTTCGTGTCGGGCAGCTGCAGCAGCTCCTCGGCCTTGTCTCTGCCCAGCCCTTCGAACAGCCAGCTGTGGGGGACGACAGCGTGAGTGCCCGCACCCTCCCAGAGCCAGGCGGGCTCAGCAGTTAAGATTGAGGGCCAGTTCACATAGAACTGCTGGGATTAGAAAGACGAGGGCGATTGACTTTTCCTTCTTTCCTTCCTTCCTTCCTTCCTTCCTTCCTTCCTTCCTTCCTTCCTTCCTTCCTTTAATCTTTCAAATAAAATTCCTTAGTATCTACCGCATGCCAGGTATGCCATTGGGTCATGAGGACAGAGATGCATAAAAAAAATCTTTCTTTTTTAAAAAAAAATTTTTTTTATTGATTTCAGAGAGGAAGGGGGAGGGAGAGACAGAAACATCAATGATGAGAGAGAATCATTGATTGGATGCCTCCTGCACACCCCACACTGGGGATCAAGCCCACAACCCGGGCGTGTGCCCTGACTGGGAATGGAACCATGGCTTCCTGGTTCATAGGTTGGTGCTCAACCACTGAGCCACACTGGCCGGGCTAAAACATCTTTCTTATCCCGTTTCTCAGATGCCACCTGGGCTGTGTCCACACTGTATTATGTAAGGCATGAGCTTTCTAAAACTCGGTAAGGCACCTGTTTGGTAGGTAGTTCCTTTAATGTCTGTCTCCCTTATAATCTAACTACAAGCCCCTCCCTCACCGCCCAGGAGGGCAGGGACTCTGTCTTCTCGGGTTTCGTTTTTGGGTTTTGCTTTTGGGTTTCGTTTCTGTGCCCAGGTTGTCGAGCTTGGTGTGTATCTGTGGATGAATGAATGGGCACCAGGCAGCAAGAACGACAGGGTGCGTTCTCTCGCCACCTGAACAAGCCCCACTCGCTTTCCTCACATTTCCTCCCCGTCTCCTCTTTGTCGGCTGATTTTAAGCATAAGTGTCATTGCTCTATGGGTTTACATGTGGTTCTTGCTTCTTTCACTTAATAGAAAAAGCAGTTGTAACTGTGGAGCGCGCCCCTCCCCTGGGCAGCCTGGCCACTCGGCCGGAAGGAGACGCGGTGCCAGCAGCTGGCTGTTGTGTCCTCGGGAGCCATTTATTTATAAGGAGCAGCGATGTCACTTATTTATGTCTGGGGCACCAGGGGGCTCTTGTTGTTAAGATCATGATTATGTCAACTCTAGCCCATTTGGCTCCGTGGATAGAGCGTCGGCCTGCAAACTGAAGGATCCCGGGTTCGATTCTGGTCAAGGGCACATGCCTGGGTTGCGGGCTCGTTCCCCAGTATGGGGCATGCAGGAGGCAACTAATCAATGATTCTCTTTCATTATTGATGTTTCTCTCTCTCTCTCCCTCTCCCTTCCTCTCTGAGATCAATACAAATATATTTTAAAAATATTTTATGTTTATGCCAGACCCAGACAAATAGTTGACCTCAGTTCTGCACAATGTGTAGCGTGTTCACTGCCTCAGTGTTTGTGACAAACATCCACTCTTCAAGTCCTGATACGAGCTTCCTCTTATAAAAATGAAGACAAAAAGCCAGTCACAACAGCCATGTGTGAATACAAAGTATGGGCCACAGACCATGTTAAGCCCTTGACATCGAATCCTCACATCCACCCCCCATAACAGGCGTATTCTTTCTCTTTCACTGACGAGGGTACTGAGGGTCAGAGTGATTCACCCGCCCAAGTCACTCCATGTTAGCTAGGGCCACAGCTCGAATTGTTCTTCTGGGACATCCCGCTTCATAACCGGCATATGTCACTGCCTCGCCTGCTGTTCAGTGTTTTAAGGATCTTTATTGCATCGACGAACTTGGGAGCTCCATTCGGCCGTGGTCACTTCCTGCTTATAGGGGCTACCCCACGGTGGCCCGTCTGTAGGAACCGGGTTGAGAGCAGAAAGGACCTTGCCTTCTGAAGCCTAATGCCTCCCTTCTCCATGCTCACTACAGGTCACTAGCATGAACATGGTGCTGTATGGACGCAGCCTGCGATGTGCACTCACCCGTGGTAAACTCTGGCCACACAGATCCCGGGGATGTAGTTCTCACGCCCGGTGCTGAGGGAAATGGCTTTCCACCAGCCCCCTTCGCTGCAGGAACAAGAGCAGGGAGGGAAGGGTCAAAGCTAATTGTCCAAACAAACGCATGAATGAACAGAGACGTCGGATTTAACCCGAGGCACGTGGCGACCTTGTTCTTTAATATCTTTCACTGGCCGTTGACCCAAATGTCTCCATATGAAAATTTAGTTTTTCAGTACGTCCCCCCACCCCCCCACGCCAAGCTAATTAGGAAATCTTCCCACGGAGGTTCCACAATTGGAGGCTATTTGCAAGTAAGGGCGTGCCTGACTTATGCCCCAGGGTAGAACCAGGACACTTCCTCTCTCTGTGGCCACGGGACTGA